TAAAAACAGTAAATGTTGTTACAGAACAACCAAAAAATATATATTTTTAAAGAAATTTTGTTTTACGTGTGATTTTATTTTAAGCYTTTGATTGCAAACTATGGTCTGTGGTGACTCTTGTGACAAGCATGCAGTTGCGTTTCACAATGAAAGTCAGCAAATGTTTTGTTATTCAAGCAGCAGAAGGAATTTTCCATTCGCATCAGCAGAAATTGAAGTTGTGGCATAAAAGGAAAACAAAAAAGCAAGAACGTTATGTTACATAATCGTCAGCACTGTAATTCCTTTGTGCAGTGGACAAATAAATGACTCCACTACCATTAAAAAACTGCTATCCAGAAAATTGTCTACAAGTATTACCAAACAGCCTCAAAAGGAAAGGCTTTATTTTCTTTTAGCTTTTGTCTTTGCTCAGCTTTTAGGAGGGAACACCGATTATTTTTCTCCTTTAAAGACAGAGTTCAGGTTTTCTGATTTGGGGTTCTGTGGAAAAAATCAGAGTAAATAGAATTGTGCCAGACATTAACTGACAACTGATGAGCTAACGGCTAGTTCAAGCGAGATCAAGCTCAAAGCAGATTGTCGTAGCTGGTTCAGATGTTATCAGTCCATTAAATGGACGCTATTAGCAGTCATCAGTCCCACAGAATGGCTTCAGACTGTCCCGACAGAGCCCMCTAGTGGGTTACCAGTGCCACATAATGTTGGAATGCAACAATCTGCTACCGCCGGAGTCTGGTCTACTTTATCGTAGCCCATGTCATTTTCTCTAAAATTAACCTTAGTGGCTTTATGCCTCATACTAACCAGATTACATAAAAATCCTTAGTGGCTTTATGCCTCATACTAACCAGATTACATAAAAATCCTTAGTGGTTTTATGCCTCCTACTAACCAGCTCACAGTCTGAAGCCATTCTTTGGGCCTGACAACGGCTAATAACATCCATTTAATGGCTGATAACATCCGAAGTGGGTGACTGTCATCACTCTAAAACAAATCCTGTCTCAAAAATGGTGTAGCTTCATGCAAATGCTGTTTTATGAAGATTTATATTACTGACGTATTGATTTTTTTCTGGGATTGGCCCAAGCAACACAGCTAACTGTTGCTGCTATTTGTGCTTATTAATTCCTTTGATATACAGTATACACACAAATAACCATTTATTGTAAATATTACAGCAACATAAAGTTTTATGAATTTGCAATAAATGCCAAAAACGTTTGAGAGCAGAGTTGTTTCTAGACAGCAGCATGCCACCCGCACCTTTAGACTAGCCAATAGCTCATCAATAGTATAATAATAGTTCATACATTTGCATCATGCAAGTTCTTGTAGTGATTTGTGTTTGTGTCTGCAGGTGAACACCCTCCGGAGAGAAGTATCTGACCTCGGGCAGGTCATGAAGAGAATGGTCCAGCTCATGGAGACCCTCCTACCATCAGTGCCCCAGCCCGCAGTGATCTGTCCGACACATTACTCCCCGGCTCACCACACYTACCTGCACTGCCGCACCCCTCCTCAGTCGTACTCGTCTCCGTCTCCCTCCAAGACTGCCTCCATCTGGACAGACCCRCCCATGCCTTTGCCCTCTTCTTCCCTCACAATCTCCCAGCAGCATGGCACGATCTGCCACGCGGACTCGCTAACACACAGACCACACAGCCTCCAGTTACAGTATCCYGCCGTCCCCAGAGCAACTCCGCCTCCCGACATATCGGCGCTTCAACCGCGGCCACCTTCTGTCGTCTCAGAGCCTCTGATGCCTTTGTCGTCATTTAGCTCACCTGATTTTTCACGGGACAAAGATGGAGCTTCTAGCACCATCACACCAAGGGTCCACAGTCCACCTCCGCAGGACGGGGGAGATGATGGCCCTCACAGGAGCTCGGGATGTTCTGCTCAAACTGGCCTTGGAGGACTCTACYCCAACCCAACCCTGGGTTTGTAGCAGGCCTTTGGCAGATTCTCCTGGACTTATATTCTGGGAAAGATCAGACTCAGCTGAGTTCCCCAACATCACTGGAAGGCATTTAGGGATGCAACTTTCTGTTTGTTTTAAAGGCACGCTTTTCAAAATCCAGCTGCATGAAAACAAGTCTAGAAGGTTTAGGTGTACTAGCTTTATCAAAACTTCAAGTTTCTWGACAGCATGTAGACATTTGGGGCAGTTTGGGAGCCTAATGGTGATAGGTGTTTGGGTAAGGCTTACCTTTAGCCTCCTCCACTTTGAGGTTTTCATAGAACAAGAACTTGATCTTAATGAAGGACATGGCCGAAGCATTAGAGAAGGGAGCTGTGCTCTCTGGATCTGTTTTCCTCCAACCTCCTTCTTCTGCCTGTTAACTCTTCTTTCCTTGTCCGCTCAGCCCACGTTGGATGCTGTGGATACCATGAAACAACTTGTTCAAGTTGAAGATATGGGATGTTTTGTGCTCTTTACTGCTGGCCCACAGGGAAAGGGGGGGGTGAAGGATGGAGGAAACTGTTTATGGTGGTGGTGGGGCACGTTAYGCCGCCTGTCACACTGAGCACAGGGAGTTTCCCTCCCTCCTTTTATCTTTTCCCGGAGTTCCTTTCCACAAACCACTCCCTCCTACCCCCTCTTTCTCTCTGCATGCCTTTCCAAGCCTTTCGAGTAGTGCCTGTAGACACACATTAACATGCTGCATGTCACCCTATGGAGTTCCAGCTTGCCATTTCTCTATCTATTTAAAGGAAGGACAATTTGATGTTTTAATCACCGAACATGGCATTTACTGACGCATACAGTATTTCTCCAAATTGAGCTTTGTTTAAACACCGGTTCTTTTAGGGAACAAGTGGCCTGGAGCAAATTTCACCAATTCTATATTGGTTCATCATCCACATTTGAAGCTCTCTCCCCTGATGATCCAGGGTTACCAGCTATTTTCTCAAAGTGAAGGCAATATTCCCCCTTAAAAGCACAATGATAAAAGACACTTTTATATTTCTATGAATGTATCAATACTAAGAATGGATTTTTTTTTCTTACCTGACAGATTTAAGCAGTATGTAATGGCCATATATAATGCAATTAAAGAGAGTCACGGCAGCGCTGTTTGCTGGTGTCAGCAAATATGAGCTTTAACCAGGAAAAGGTCACGACTCGCGTCCAACAGATCTGCTCTTATCTTATAAACTCCTGTAGGTTTGACTCTCTGCTTTTCTGCAAATGGAATGTACTGTAAACATTTTTTTCTTTGCCTTTTGATATTTATTAGATAAACTGATATGCTAATAAAAGCAAATACGACTGTTATGTGGTGATTTTTGATGCCCTGAAAYGTGCATTATCCTTCTTTTAAACACGCTTTTTCTAGAAATAATACAATTTTATTTTCCCAAACATTTGTGGAGACAGGAGTACATCTTTAAAAATACTAACTGCAATGACATTTAAATCTGGGTYCATCTATAATTATATTTTTCTCTCTTTTCAACACATAAGAAAAAATGCTGAAATCCCATGCCACGCAGGAAAAACATTCTCATTAATGACGTCTTTAGCTCGGCTGCAGTTTCTCACAAAACTGTCCTTTTTTATCATTTATATTTACCTCCCAGCTATTAGTTAACCATTTCATCACATGATCAAGATTAAATGTGACAAGAAATACCCAGACAAAATATATTGTAAATTGCACCAATATTTTAAGATTTTAGGACACAATGAGGGTTATGTCACACTTATTTTTGTCATTTTTTAAGTATTTATTTTATATGAATTTCTATGCAAATTTCTAATAATGGTATATTTGTTTCTGCTTGAATTACAAGGTTTGATAAGTCTACATTTATGGTGCAAAATGCAAACCCCACTTAGAGAAGCTGGGGCTTAAAATTTTAAGTTAATCAAAAGGAGTCAGCTGAGGTGCTTTGAGCATCTAATGAAGATGCCTCTTAATATTATGATTTTTCACTTGATGTTTTTAAGCTAAAATGTTAAAGTAAGGCTTGATAAAGCGAAAAAACTTTGATTTTGTTCAAGCATTTTTTTCTATTTTTCCAAGTCTCAGATTGCAAATCTTCATTTACGTCAAAGACTGAAAGCAAGAGTTTCACCATAAATGCGTACAAAGTGATCTGATTTATATAACGCAGCCTCATAATTAAATCTTTGATTTGCATAATGCTACACATTTATCATCACACAACAAGGCTGTTRCTTTTTTTTTCTGCGTACAATTAGAGATTTGTATTTGAGTTATCTGTGTCCACTGCTTTGTTAGCTGCGGCTGTGCGTTGTTTGCGTTGAAAGYGGGAGGCGTAAGCAGGTGATGAAACCTGACTGTAACAGTGACACACCTRTCACAGGTCCAGCTGCTCTCACGAAGAGCAGCAGCCACGTGTGTGCAGCGAGGTCCAAGATTAAGACCAAGATGGTTTTGAAGTGTTGCCCGTTAAGAGTACGTGTTTGTGTGTTCAKCAGCACATCTGAATGTTGTCATTTGACCCGGGGGGTCACAGCGCTCATCTATATTTAATGTTCCACCGACAGTCCCATCCTCACCGCTCAAGCATCGTTCCRTCCACCTGCTGGAAAGCACATCTTTTATTCACCGCTTTTCCACTTTATCTGTCATTAACAAACTGAAGCCCATCTGGTTCCTGCATTGCACACTTCAAATCATTTTTCCCCCTATTTTGCAAGCCGTTTTCACATTTAATGGTATGACAGAATGAAGGAAAGCTCCACATGATTTTTTTTAATAGGGTAATACTTGGTTGTGAATTTTTAAACTTCCACGTATTGCTTTGGGATTGCATACTTTTAATCCTCTCGATTCACATTATTTGCTGATGGCCCCGACCCAAATACAGCAACCATTTGTCCCCGTCTGCTTTCTTTTTTTTCTTTTCTTTTTTTTTCCACCTGAACACTCACACGCATTTTGTTCTTCAATTCAAATGAGTCCTTTACTCCAGTGAAAGGAGCCACTTCACTTGTCCCTCGCCCCAGTTTTCTGAACTAAAAAAGAAAAAAAAATGCTTTGCAGGAGGTGAGAACTTCTCTCTCAGGTAACAAAAAAAGCRTTGCTTTCATCCGGGGCGGATATAATGGAGACGTGTTGAAACCTGCTTACCAGGCTGCGGTCTTTGCATTCAAACTGGGACCTGCCTGCTCAATTATGTTTGTGTTTCATTGTTCGCCTTCCTGACTCGTGTTCATGCACCAATGAGCGCTGGGCCTTGAGAAGATCTCCTCACAAGGAGTTTGCATTCATCTCTTCCACTCTGAGGCTACCGCTGTGGTTTGCATTGATGTAAAGCAGGAAGGGAGGAGGGAGCTTTTTGTTTTTATTTTTTCTTGTGTTTTGATAAATGAGTCTGAGCTGCTTCTGTGGGGGTGGGGGGGGGTTTCAGCACAAGTGGTGGGAGGAAGAATGTCAGAAGTAGAAATGATCTGTGGCTCCTTTCCTCATGCATATGTCTGCTTATCCATCACCTGAAAGATACTGAGGCGGCTGCAGAAATACCTCTTTTCTTCTTTGGCTGTCAGAGAAAATTTCTTGCATTTTTCAAGCTAAACGTTTGGAGAATTATAAGCTCTTGTGTAGTTGTCTATTGTGTTGAGGTAACAGCGATGAAAGTGTCCTTGATGGGATGTCGGCACTAAAATGTTCAGAACAGGAAAGAAAACAGTTTTAGACAACTTAAGTATTTGTGTGCATTGGTGTGTGTGTGTTTGGTATTTGTTGCTGTATTGATATGTATTGCTGATGGGTTTGGTCTGTTTTGTGCAGATTTGGAGCCTGTAATCTAAGGGTGCACAAATCCCACAGCCAACCATCTGACACGGGCATCATGACCTGMGTGTGCTTGATTAGACAAGAGAAGAAGTCTGACAAAGTGACTAATTCAGTAATCAGAGTAGAACATTCTTATCTGTACGCAAATAAACCAGATGTGTTCTTTCGATATTACGATATAGTGATTGTGTACCCATGAAGCCTTGGATTCATTGAAGAAATATAACTTTAGATCCACACTTTGTTAAGTTTGGTCATTTTATTTAAACTGACATGAGCTCTGAGAGAGAAATAAAAACATACGTAGGAGGCTGTTGCAAAGCCTTTTGTCARGTTTCAGCTTTTTTTTATTATTGCCTCAAAGACACAAAATGTGGGGAAGAATTTATATTTTAGAGCTATTTTTTCTGCCAGTGAGTATGAGTTTTCTATCCTTATTTGAACGTGCATCTCTGCAACTTTTAAGCCAAAAGCATCAACTGAAAATTTCTCAAATAAGTTTGAAGACTGAGCCTTCCTCCTCTCCATCTTCTTCTTTTTTTTTTTTGCAGAAAATTGTAACGCAATAATAAATTGGTTTTAAAAGCAGGAGAAAACTGCTTTCAAGTATGAATATTTAACAGAAGCGCACAGATTACTGAAACAGTCTTTGACCCTAATTGCTGCCRCGAGTCAAGCTTTTGTCACACTTTGCTGCAGTTAGTTTTTGCCTTTTGTCAGCTCTGCTCCTGAGGCCCATCTGCGAGAGCTAATTGCACATTAAGAATCACCAAAAACAACATGGTGTTAAAAAAAAGACCTTTAAGCTCTCTGAGGTTTGCACACTAAGTGCATCCACCTCCCTGTTGGAGGAAACCGAGCCATCATGCATCTTCATAAAGAGGCCACAGCTACTTCATCATCACAGCAGCTGATTTCCATCTGATTCACCGGATTCTCTGGAAGGCACGGGCAGCATGGTGAGAGTACGACATGCCCAAAAGACATCAGCTGGTGTTGAAGGTATACAGTATGCACACACACAAAAAAAAAACTAAACAAATGCAACAGAAAAAACACTGCAAAATAAAAACAGATGCGATCACAAAAATGACAACAAGTTAAAATTGTGCAAACTGCAAAATACAAAATGAAACCATTAGAGGGACACGACCACCAACAAGATCCCCATTTGGAAAAGGGTACTATCCAACAACCCACTATCCATAATTCAAGAAAAAGAACTACAAATTAAATTGTCATTATTTTTAAGCTGTCTGAAAAATCATCTAAGCTGTGCCTGGTATTTTGTGCACAGAAACAATGTTTACAAAAGTCCTTAATTAAACACTAGCTATGTTTCATCCTGTTGTAATGCAAAAATCTGAGCGAATGTTTAACATGTGGCATAAAATGTTTGGAGCGAATCAACCAGTCAAACATCTGCAGACAAAATACCATTTAGATGCTTGTAATAATACATTTTTTATAGTCCCATTGCTGTAAAGAGTGCCATTTTGGTCAGACTGCTGAAAAACTTCAGAGATTTTTTTCAGAAGCGATCCTGGCACCGAAAATCTCTGCAATGTTGCTCCAGCTCCACGTCAATACCATCGCAACAACAAGTCAACAAAAGGTCAGAACACTCCTCCCTGAATTTAATGGAAAATAAAATCTAATAACAGTGTTTGAAGAGTTTTAGTGCACTTATTAGCACTCTGACCTTGAGAGTTTGGGCTACAAGTAAAATACCCTTGAAGTTGGGGGGGTGGGGTGATGCAACAGAGGATGATTCTGTGGACAAAGACAGAGAAGCAGKAAAGCAGCTGGAGATTCACTAAAATCAAAAACAAACCAACTGAGGAGAGAAATGAGTTCTAGAAGACGTCCCAGCAGCCGTTACAGGTCCAGAGCTTTAACCACCGGGCTTCACTGATTATTTGAGTTTTTTCCACCTGAAGAGATGGATTGGATCAGTAAGGGGCTCTTTTTTGCTGGGTTCTGACAACTTTTCTTTGAAACTTGGAACAGAAAAGGAGAGAAGGAATGGTCAAAGTTCAAAGAAACTGTTCGAAATTACTATAAAAGACACAACTTTAGTAGTTTTRGATATATTGGGAGTATAGCTCTGTTTTCCTACAGTCTTAAACTGCAGAGATGAAAAAAAAACATTTTCACCTTTGAGTAATGCAAACAGAACTAACATGAACAGAAAATAGTGATGTAATTTTACCATAATTGCTCAGGTGGTGTACCCCAAGGCTTTATATTAGGACCTAATATTTTTAGTGTATAAGTAGGCCTAACTGTTCAAGTGAGTTCAGCTATAAGCAGAAAACGCTGTATTGTACATCCACACTAAGACAGCAGGAAGCAGCTGATGTATTAGCAGCAACAGAACTATCTCACTGGAATAACACAGAAAGTTGTTGTTCGTCACAGGTGGAACTGATTAAAGCTCTGTGTTCAGCACCAAGGACAGCACACTGAACACATCAAACAGGGTAATGATATGAAATGGATTGAAAAA